AGTTTTCTAAGGGTTTGAAGGGTGTTAATGAATAAGATAACCGGCCAGTGCTCATTGTTACTACGCTATTCATACGCTTTTGCTCTTGGAAAATAGAAAAATCAACATTTCTTCAAATCTAGAAAAATTCTTCATAATGAGCACTATTTCGAACGTCTCAGAAGTGGTCAGTATTGAACGGTGTCCACTATAGAGAATTTCAATTGCAGCGAAAGCCACTCTATGGGACCGTAAAAAGTGTCCATTATACGGAGGTGCCCACTCTTCAGATGTTCAATTCCAGCAAAAATCGTTCCGTCGGACCATAGAGTCTCCACTATATGGAGGTGTCCACTACGGGAGGTTTTACTATAGTATCGACGAGCGTTATTCATATACAGAGTGATAGTAAAATTAAGGCTCTACAATTCTACACTATTTGATCGTTACCCACCTGATATCATAATCAGAAAATTTCGATAAGAACTATTTTTTGTGAAAATTTAACTAATGTGTGAGGCATATTAATGGTTATGTTTTTTATTCTAATTTTCGACTACCTAACATGACGGATTAAAAAATATACTACAAGACACAGCGTGAAACACTACAATTGGTAAAGTTTTGTTTTTATCTCAATCTTTCAACTGAAACGACGAAACATGTTGTATGATTGCTTTGAATTATTCTATGATTTGTAAAGTCACCCAAAATTCATTTTTAATTTATAAAGTCGTTTGATAAGACCTTTCAGCAAGATCGAAACATGTGTCACAACAACTCGTCTCAAGTTTAAATTGCTAAGCCGAGAAATATGGGTCGCAGCTCGCAGGACAGCATCGAAAATTGAGGAAACATGGAAGCCGTATTTCGGTAAATGGATTTACCTAGTTCTGTACAAAACCGACAGAAACTTGTCCAAATCGGCAGACAAATACGGTTATCGTATTCTTACATCAAACTCTCTGCATGCATTTTCCGGTCGGAAATGGTGTGTTTTTCGAGAGTTTTCATCGGAAGTTCCCAGAATAGTGTGTCAGCAAATCGAGCTTGGCTTCACCCTCCAATAATAAATCGACGTGTTCGACGATTCGAAGATTGATCTAATAAACTGATATTTACTTTTATATCTGTTTATTTTCTTGAGACTGAAAACTTTTCCAGCTGTGTAATTCTTTATTTTTCACAGCATAGGCGTTTCCTTCAATTCTACTGACTGATTGAACTTTTACTGTAGTCTTTCACGACTCTTTTTGCATGGAATGTTGGTGAGGATGCCCCATTTCTTTTGCAGATCATTTTATTTACACATTTAATGAATATCCAAAGTGAAGAACGCATTGAAAAAAAGCTTAAGCGAGTGCACTGAGCAGATGATGAGACAATTGCATTGTTAAACTTATTAAAAGATGATCGAATATCGAATGAGATCTAAGGCCACTGAAATCGATGAACCTAAAAAAGACTGAAGACGATCTATCAGCAACCGGTTACACAAAATCCATTGAAAAAATTAAACATCATCATCATTCTGTAAAACAATCTTGTACAAGGTATGTTTATAACAACGAAAACACGAGTAGTGATCCTAAACCATCGAAATTTTATGAAGATGCTGACGTACTGTTTAGCTGCAAAGATATAGTCAACACACCGTATGCAATCGATAGAGATAATGATAAACAAGATACGCTGACAGATTATGTGAGTAATCAGTGACCCTATAGCCTGCTACATTTCTAGATCCTCTTTATTTCATAACCTGCTTAGGGTGAACCAGCAAATGAAGCAACCATGCCGACAACAAATGATGGGTCATTGACACGAGAAGTGTCGGTAACATCAACGTCGGATGGCACTCCACCGTCATCAAAATCAACATTCAAGCGAGAAAATGGTGACGGTGGATGGGGCGTCTGATATGACGGCACTAGAAGAGTAGTGGAGCCAACTGATTGTTAAGTGCAGCTTATTTATTGCTTCTAACTTCTGGAGATCTTTCAGAAGTCTTGTAAACAGTAATGGATCACCATAAAAAAATACTTTTTAATGAGAAGAGAGTAGAAGATGATGAGGCTGATGATACGAACAGTGTTAATTTTCACAAGTTTTTCAATATTTTGGACTCTGTTTGTAACGAAGATATTAAACAAATGGTTATTGAAATATACGAATATTTTACAATGAAACCTTCGAATGAAAATAAGTCTATAGTTTAAACCAAAATTAATTATTATACTGGTAAAAGGAAAACACAGTTTGATCAGTGGCGTAAATTGAGTTGAAGAGAAAAAGAGTATAGTGATACATCAATATTGAATCGAAGTGAATTGAGAGAGACAACAGATGTGGTTGAGCGTTCAAAAACACTAAAAAAGACAACACGAGACGTTAGCGAAGTCTCGCAGAGACAAAAAAGATGGTGTCCTTCAGATTTAAATTCTCAATTAGATAAATTTGAGGAAAGTAATGGAATATCGATCAATCCAGTCAATGAATATCTCCTTCATCAATGAAAAGTATTATGAAAATCGACAGCTTACAAGTATTAGTAAATAATTGTACGATACTAGTGAAGTAAAAAAAGACGATACGTTGAGTTACATCAATCTCTTGCTTTACAAAGTTGACTAGATCTGATTTACAGTGATAAGCTATCGATCTGTGCAAAAAATCTTCGTGAAATCTGCTCCGGTATAGTATCACAAAGTGAATAATGGACTTGTCTCAAGCAAGTTCCACACTCGCCTCATGTCTCGTACCTTCATTTTGAGAACAAGAAAAGACGTTACATTTTTATGGTGCAAATAACTGATGAAAATTGTGCATGTCATCATCTGATATTTATTATAAGATTAGATTTATTATTTTTCTTTCTCAATAGTTCTTCATGAAGAATACAAAAAGTTACACAAAAGTTACAAGTCAATATCGTTCTTTTATAGACTAGGTAAGAAAAAAAATCTTATCACCATTGTCGCAAAAATCATAAAAAACGTTAGATAACAAGGAGTAGAAAACTTATTGTATCCTGTTAATGTTTCCACGTCAAAAGTAACCCAATATATAGTGAAATTACAGATTAAAAAATCGTGCATTAATCATGTAGTGATGTGACTTGAAACTTCCTGAATTCAGAAAATACGTATATAATAATATCTGTTAATACACCGGATCTCTTATTTTGATAAGTTATATTATGAAATCCTATCAGTCACCTGACCTCTTCCTTACCAAAGACGATGGTATACAGAATGGAGTAACTCTTCAAATTCCTATCACAGAACGGAAGCCTTGTGGTTTAGATTGGGCACAATCATCATGGAAATATTGGATCTACGCAGCATTTTGGTGGTGGGTAAATCCTATCTTAAATCTTGGAAATAAACGGAATTTAACAGATAATGATTTATTTGATTTATCTTCAAATGATGAATGTCGTCATTTACTTGATAAACTCGAAGTAAATTGCAAGAGTGTTGAGAACAATAATATCAGTACGTGGAAAGTAATAATAAAAACATTTTGGAAAAAATCATTGATAGCAGGTCTAATTTTACTTCTATTAACTGCAGCAAAGATAGCACAACCATTATTCTTGAAAGAAATAGTACTAAACATCAGCGATCCCGATGCACACCCATCCACTGGTTATATGTATGCTGTTGGATTGGGATTAGCAGCAACGTTTCAAGCTATAATTCATCAGCAATTCTTTTTTCGTATTGCACGAGTTGGAATGCAAGTAAGAATTGCACTCACCGCTCTTATTTATAAAAAAGTGTTACAATTGAAAACGAGTGCGCTCTTGAAAACGACTTCAGGTCAACTTATTAATTTGATTAGTAATGATGCAAGTACATTTGAAGAATTAAGTATATGTCTTCATTATATTTGGGAAGCACCTTTGGAAGCACTTATTGTTTTTGGTTTGATTTGGATGAATATTGGGGTTCCAACGCTATTTGGCTATGCAGTTTTGATACTATTGATACCACTGCAATTATATTTTAGTAAAAAATTTGGAACATACCGGAAAAATACACTGGCATGGGCTGATAAACGGATAAAAACCGTGAATGAGATTCTAATAGGTTGTCAGGTCGTAAAAATGTACAATTGGGAGAAATCTTTAGAAAATGCGGTGCACAAACAAAGAAATGAGGAATTAAGTAGTGTTCGTCAAGCATCTCGTATAAGGGCAATAAATATGGGTTTATTTTTTTCATCGTTATCTTTAATTTCATTAGCAACATTTGGAGGTAGTTGGTTAATGGGTCATTCATTGAAGCCTGCTCAAATATTTACTGTGTTATCATTTTTCAGCATCATTCGAACACCAATAACAAATTTTTTACCTACTAGTATTGAAAACTTAAGTGAGAGTTTTATATCGGCAAAACGTATTAGTGAGTTTATGAGTTTATCGGTACATAACAGTAAGACTAAGGAATATATCTTATGTAAGAAACCAGTAGGAAGCATAGAAATAACAGCAGCGTCGTATTCATGGGAGCATGATCAACCAGAAACATTAATTGACATTGACCTAACCGTTGAGCCGGGACAACTCGTAGGAATTATGGGTTCAGTTGGTTCCAGCAAATCATCGTTACTAGCAGCTATTTTAGGTGAAATGAATCTATTAAAAGGTACAAATCAAATATCCGGATCATTTGCATATGTATCACAGACTACTTGGATTATTGCTGGTACAATACGTGAGAATATATTATTTGGAAATCAATTGAATGAAGCAAAATATAAACAAGTACTCAAAGCATGCTGTTTGATTTCTGATTTACGTTTACTTCAAGCAGGAGATTTAACTATAATCGGGGAAAAGGGGATCAATTTAAGTGGCGGACAAAAAGCTCGCGTGTCACTAGCACGTTGCGTCTATGCTGAAGCAGATATTTATTTGTTTGATGATCCATTAGCATCTGTAGATCAAACTGTTGCTGAAAAAATTTTTCATCGATGTATTGGGCATCAAGGCTTACTACAAGGAAAAACAAGATTATTAGTTACACATCAAACACAGTTCTTACCAGAAGTTGACCACTGCATCTTATTGGGTATTAGTAAAATATGAAATTAGGCAAAAACATCTATCGACATGAGTAGCTACGAATAGACTTCCCAGACACCCAGGAACAACCCAAGAACAGCTATGCGTATAGTCACGGTATCCACAGATAGAACTTATGGATACTTACCTCTTGACATCGACAGACAGCAGTAGACACATCAGATACTACGATCACCGTCGAAATATCAATCGATATCACCATAGACTTGTACAGAAATCTATTTTTCTTTCTACTAACTTTTTATTGGGATAACACAAGAAGCACAACTATCTAAAGTCTACAGCGATTATTATTTAGCAACTAGAATGGGTCGTTAGTGTGGCTGCCTGTATAGTCTTATTAACTCTATGTATCCCTTTTGGCTGTTGGTGGATGTTGCTAGACAAATCTGACTGTCTATGGATGTTAATAGGTACCGCTATGCTGTTCCTGGACATGTACGACCATTTCTATAGCAGTTCGCAGATGTCCATCAGTGTTTTGGTCTGTTTCACATTTTACTAATATCCATATTTTATTAGATAACGGAAAAATTCAAAAGCAAGGAAGTTTCGATGAATTATTAACGTTGCCCAAAGTTAAAAAATCATTCGAACAGCAGAAAAAACATTCAGATGACGCCAATAAAAAGAAAATTAGAAATAATACTGTTGAAAATAATGAATTTAGTGATGATTTATTCAATACAATTGATAAGAATAGTATTTTAACCGGTGAAATATCTATGGGTGGAACAATTAGCATCAAAGTATGGCTTAAACTTTTTACTTCATCATATGGCTGGTGTGGATTCGTCGTATTAATCATCCTTCTATTAGTAGGCGAAGCGGTTTATGATGCAGGTAATCGCTGGTTAAGTTTATGGGCAAGAAAATCGAATGATCAACAACGAGTAGAATTTAATGCTTATGTTTATTTAAGTCTTGCAATCGGCACGTTAATAATTTCATTGATACGTGCTGATTATTTTTTTCACTTAATATTACGTGGCGCATCTACCTTACACAATAACATGTTAAAGGGTGTTCTTTACAGTCCTTTAAGATTTTATGAAAGTAATCCAGTTGGCCGGATACTTAACAGATTTAGTAAAGATCAACAAGTTTTGGATGAATTATTACCATTAACATTTTTTGATACCGTCCAGTCATTAGTAATGACGGTGGGTAGTGTGGCCATTATTGGAATTACTAATCCGTGGGTATTACTTATTTTAATTCTAATTATTCCAACATTTCTGTGGTTGAGACGATTTTATATACGTACAAGCAGGGAGCTTAAAAGATTGGATAGTATAACTAGAAGTCCAGTTTATGCCTTATTTTCATCATCTTTAGGAGGCTTGATGACAATTCGGGCGTTCAATGTTGAAAATAATTTTATTGACCTATTTATTGATAAAGTCAACACAAATACACGAGCTTTTTTCATGTTGGCCTGTACGATCCGATGGTTCGGTTTGAGATTAGATCTAATGACATCTTTACTTAGCTGTTTAACTGCAATTTTATCTATTACATTACGCAACCATCTTGATGCATCATCCGTTGCATTAGGATTAACTTACTGTATTAATCTGACAACTTTATTCCAGTGGGGAGTGAGACAATCGGCAGATACAGAAAATTATATGACAAGTGCTGAAAGAATCTATGAATATTCTCATCTGCCACCAGAAGAAGATTTTAATTTAGAAGATAGTGAACTTTCTGCTGACTGGCCAACAGAAGGAAAAATTCAATTCAAGGATTATGAGTTACGTTATCGATCCGAACTTGGACCAGTACTGAAAAAGATAAATTTAGAAATTGAATCCTGTGATAAAATTGGTATTATAGGACGAACAGGTAAAACAAAAATCATAAACTTTTCATGTCATTAGTTGTACCAGAATTGCGCAGGATAGTTTCATCCCGACCCATCTCGACGGTTCAGATCGAGACGGGATAGATTCCAGAAAATTTTTTATGAGATCAGACGGGACGAGATACTCACGAGAGGAGACGAGACTAAGCTGTTTCTTCAAAACCGTATTCACTAGCACCCTAGCGAAGAATCATAATATATTATCATGGAGGTTTTCCTAGTTAAATTTATTGGAGAAAATTCGTTCAATACAATGCGCGAACAGAATGTTGAACGATGATAAAATCTTACGTTTTTTAATTACTACTTTTATTGGAACGATTCTTCGCACCTCTTGCTCTTCGTGTACTACAATCGAAAGAAATTATGGTTTCATTGTCTGCGCATAATTAAAAATCATTTTCTCCTCCTTGTTCATCAAATGAACATGACGTTAGAATAGTGAAATAAAGTTTGAACGAAAGAACCGTTGAAGTTTAAAATTGTTGATAATCCGTTTGAAACAAAATCGTCAATATGGGATACATTCGGCTTGCCGGCTCAGCCAGATGAAAATGGCGATTTCATGTAATCAAATAGACCGCTGACAGCAAGAAGTGTTATTACATACGTTTTGCAGCATTTTGTATCATCACAAATGCCCGCTTGCAGACAAGGTTGAATTTCAAGAGAAAAATTGATGACATCGATACTAGTCCATCCACACCGTCTAAATCCTTTTCTGTGCCACTCTATGTGTTATACTTCTTTCCCGCCATCAGTCAAAACATTCTTCTCATATCCGTCTTCATTATACAAGAAGTTTACAGAAAACAAGAAAGAAAGTGTCGCAAGACTGTTAGCTGTGTGCTGTAGTATGGTGTTAGAAATAACCGCGAACTCGAGACGGGACGAAGTCCTTACGAGATACAGCGAGACGGGATGTGAAAAAACATTGTCCCGCGCATCTCTGACCTGTACTTTTTTTCTTCTTTCCATTAGGTGCTGGAAAATCATCCATCTTTCAAGCAATATTTAGGTTGACTGATAAATCAACATCGAGTGGACAAATTTTGATTGATGGGGTTGATATAAATACAGTTGGGTTGTGCACCTTAAGATCAAAATTAAATATTATTCCACAAGCACCTGTATTATTTAGTACTACGTTGCGATATAATCTGGATCCATTCAAGAAGCACACCGATGAGGAACTCTGGGATGCTTTAGATATTGTCCAATTAAAACCAATGGTGCAAAGTTTGAAAGACGGAATAGATACACAAATGGCTGAATATGGAAGCAATTTCAGTGTAGGTGAATGTCAATTGATTTGTGTTGCACGAGCCATACTAAAACCGAGCAAAATTTTGTTAATTGACGAAGCAACAGCAAATGTTGATACTCACACAGATGAACTAATTCAAAGAGTAATACGCGATAAATTTAAAAATCAGACAGTGTTAACAATTGCACATAGAATCAATACCATTATAGATAGTAAAAAAATTGTTGTTATGAGTGATGGTTGTGTTACTGAGTATGGAAAATCAGAGGCTATACTGACACATTTAGCGGTAACGGATGAAGAAATAAACGAAGATATGCATTTATGATAGGTATAAATAAAAATATTTTTATTTATAAATATATATATATATATATAAAGCAAGCAAGTGATTTTTACCCAAAATATTGACGTTTCATATGTATAGAACTTAAGGAGAATTCCCCTTGCCAGAAATGATTATCGGCTTTTTCCATATTTTAGCAAACTTACATAGTTCAATAGCCCAAAATAAATGTGTTCACCTCTGATAAATTCGAACTTTCAAAATTTGTTTCTTCTAATTTTAATAACAGTCCTAAAACTCAGAAAATACGGTGTTCTCGGCTCGCCAAACACTTAAAGTGGATTTTGAAAGAGAAAATTAGCGAGTGCAGAGTCTTGTGTGCAGAATGAAATGTCGCTCAGCTTGCTGTGAGCTCGTCATGCACATTCGTTATGGCGTGAGCCGGTCAATTGTCTCTCCGGGACACTTGTATATTTGTATAACTAATTTGAGTTACTGTCAGAATTTCTTAGAAATTTGAATGAATTATGTCAGATCGGCTTACACGCTCAAATGTATAAAAAAAATTTCTCGTCGCTTTGATGGAGTCACAAAATGTATTCAGATTAATTTGATGCATTCACACGTCTTAAGAATCAATATATTCAAATGCATGAAATTGGTTAAAGCATTCGAATGCACTAAAAGTGTTTTTTGTAAAGGACGGGGGAGGATAAGAGTGTCGAGCACCCCAATAAAACTCAATGAAACTTACATATTCGGAATCAGCGTAAAATTCTGAGTATTTTAGCCGTCCCACTTTTCCAAAAATCACATTTTGATTTTTATCGAAAAATTTAAGGGCAAAGGTCATCCCCCCTTTGGAACATCGAAAAAACGTTTTTCCTCTAAAATTTTCGAAATACACCTTTTCTGACTCAGAATTTTGTGCTGATCATGAATATGGGATCTACAGTTAGAAAAAGTAAACATTTCGTGGTGTCGAATGCCAAAAACTGAAGGTTGGTCAAGGTCAGTCCAATTGATAGTTTGCAGGTTTTCACCAAGAAAGAGTCATTCAAAAGCTTGAAACTAAACAGTTATTGATGAAAATAGTTGTTCTATCCAAATATGTAAACAAAAATGCAGTGTGAGCGTATTTTGAGCAAAAATATTAAGAAAAAGAGGAAAAACAGTCAAAATTAATTAGTGTTTTCAAGAACGTTTCACACCTTTTTCGATTTTTATTTTAGTACTAGTGAATAAAGCGTGAAAAACTGCGTCTAGCATGTAATTTTCGTTTTGAATGCAGAGGCGACACAGTGAAGGATTATGGTCGATTTTTGACTATTTTTCCTCTATCAATTGGACTGACCTTGACCAACCTTCAGTTTTTGGTATTCGACTCCACGAAATGTTTACTTTTTCTGATTTTAGATCCCGTATTCGTGATCAGCACAAAATTCTGAGTCAGAAAAGGTGTATTTCGAAAATTTTAGAGGAAAAAGTTTTCGATGTTCCAAAGGGGCAAGGATTTACAGCAGTTTACTGCAAAGTCAAGTTCATGTGTTCAAATCTCTTTTCATACCAAATCGATTTCGTATTTTTAGATAGTTTTAATTTAGAATACTATGATGGAATATTTTAGCGCATGTATTCTGACAGAATAAAGCTTATATCAATGTTAAACGCCTAATAACACAATATCAAAGAATCTCTTGTCAATTATACGCACAATAAAACATCATCTGTCATTCGACTTCATACGGTGTCGATCGATGCATTCTGTTGATGGGAAACACTTGCTAAAGACACTACACTCTAAGAAAAAAACGTATTCTAGGAAACGTTTAACGGGTTTCCGACAATGAAACTATATGAAACGCTTATACGTTTCCGAGGAAAGGATCTCCGAACTCTCCTAAGCCCTTTTCTGCTTCGGAAACCCATTTTATTCGCTTTCGCCTTTTTGCTCGAAAACTGGCAAAACAAGGTTTATGAACGGATTTCCTAAAAATAGTTAACTATCTTACCTGTTTATATTGTAGTCTGTAGGGCTATTACTATTGCGCTTTCGCATCTAGTTTATGAAAGGACAATAAATATTCATCATTATTACTCGCTTCAGGTGAGGGTTCCCGTTAGCGATAAACCGGGAGATACACTGGGGTATTTCATGTCCTGGTAAGCGTTACTTTGTTTCCTACTTTTTTTTCTTGCAAGAAAAAAATTATCGATACTCTGACGATTAGCTTTTTGTGATGCAACCGAACTTTGCATCATAGATAAAAAAACCTTAAAACAAAGGGTGGTCTCGGAAAGTCAAGGATTCCAAAACCGAGGTGTTTAGTAGAAAAATTTCCAGATACCGACGAGGCTATTCTCGCAAACTGAAAAGGATATACTCGGATACCCACCAAGTTTTTAAAGATACCGCCGGTTTATTTTTTTTCATCCGTTTATCATCAAATCATATGTGTAGATAGTACTCGTCAAGGCGCATCCAACGGTATGTCGTTTTAGTCTGGGAAATCATTCCATCAAAAGTTATTTGAA